CGTGGTCCTGGGAGCCGGAGGGCTTCGCGCCGGGGGAGGTGGTGAGAGGGAGCTCGGCGGGAGGAGGCGGGACACCGGGACCTGAGCGGGAGGGGAGGGCTGGGCGGCGGGGACCTCACTTAACGGCGGCCCGGCTGAGGGAAGAGGGAGAAGTGACGGGTCCAGATTCATTAAGGTTCCAGCGTTCTAGGCAAGTTGACAATCTGCCCTAAATGCCCCAACCATAGTGAGACAAGTTTAATGCAGATGAAAACACCCGTCATTACGTGCCTAGCAAATGTCCAGCATGGTGTTTTAAATACTTATTTAATCCTCCCAGCAAGTCCAGGAGGTAGGAACTATTATCCCATTTTCCAGATGGAGCAACCGATGCTCATAGCAGTGAAGTCAGCCAAGTCAGCCACAGTCTCAGCAGAGGAAGAGCCAGTTGGCACGCTGGCTGGGGGCGCCAGGCTGTAACCACTGCGCTGCGTGTCACCCACCATCAGGAGGGCACTCCCACCACCCAGCCGGCCCTTTCACTGGCCTTAAATAGCAATTAAGCACATGCATCTCCCGCCCTCCTGTGGAGGGGGAAGAATTGATTGGCATCACCCACTCTGACCTCCCGGAGGGTGGGGCTGGTAGACCTGCAAGGGCTGGTTATCGAGGTGATCTCTAGGCCTGGAGCGTGCTACCTGGTTTTCGTCCAGGCTAACTGATTTAAGGAATTCTTACCTTATTTAACAGCCTGAGAAACGGGTTTGAGGAGGGAAGTCACCGAGTTTGGGTATAGAGACACTCCTCGAGAAATTTTCTCTAATAAATCACTGGCTCCTAGTTGCAAACCGTGTGCACATCTGCTCTTTGCCCTTCAGTAACTAAGAGAAGGAACAGGAGCAGTGGTTGGGAGGGTCATTCCCACTGAGCAGATGAAGAAACAGGCTGGGCAGGGAAAGTGCCCTGTCAGTGACCGAGCCAGGAGTAGCCAGGAGCCATGCTCGGGCCTCGGACTGCTGGGCCTGTGTTCCTCCCCTTCACTTCCTGCAGCCAGACCTCAGGGGACTCTAGGAGCTGGCTCCTGGGTGACCTGCACTTGCTCTGATTCAGTTTCAGAAGTGACTTGCAGTGGATCCTCTTCTGTGCAGACCTGCCCTCCCTCATCCAAGAAGGCCCTCAGTATGTACCTTGATCTGGAACCTCAACCCCTTGCCAGCCGTGTGTCCCAAGCCTCTGCCTTTGCTGCGCTTAACGAGGATTGACCCGGGAGGGTGGGAAGAGTGGGTTCATTTCATCTCGGCAGCCCGGGGAGGTTGGGGAGGATGAGGGGAGGGGAAGGAGATGGGGAGCTTTCCAGGGCAGGGTCCTGGGCACATGCACAGTAAACAGAGTTGGAACCAGTGAACAGGTGAGTGAATAAATGAATCTGGTCCATTATTTCTAACTCTACTTTGGCAACTACTCATCCTGGAAACCCAGGTGACATCTCCCCCCACCCTCCCTTCCCCTCATCTTCAGTACTTGCTCAGCCTCTCTGCCATGAAAGAGTATCAGGTCTCCCTACCTGGCCTTGGAGAGGGGAGGGGAACTCCCCCAGGCGGCCATCCTGTTCCCCACACTCCAGCTTCCAGGGCAGAGGGGGGCCAGTAAAGACCCGACTTAGGGATTCAGGGGCTGGGGCTGTCTCTTCTAGGTGTGGGCTGGTGGCCCTGTGGATGGCAGGCACTGTCTTGGTACCTCCCAGAGGCATTCCCTTGGAGAGACTCGTGCAGATGGCCGTGGAGAGAGGCTACACGGCCCAGGGAGAGATGTTCTCTGGTGAGTTGGGTGCAGAAGGGTCACAAGTCTGGCCTTCGTCACCAGGAACGGACTGGAGAGGCTGGGTGAGACACTGCCAGGTGTGTGGGAGGACCTTCTTCCATTCTTCAGGCCCTTCCCCCCACCCAGTGTTACAAGGTAGACTCTGGAGCAGGGGTCCTCAAACTACGGCCCGAGGGCCACATGCAAATACAAATATTGTATTTGTTCCCGTTTTGTTTTTTTACTTCAAAATAAGATATGTGCAGTATGCATAGGAATTTGTTCATAGTTTTTTTTAATACTATAGTCCGGCCCTCCAACGGTCTGAGAGACAGTGAACTGGCCCCCTGTTTAAAAAGTTTGAGGACCCCTGCTCTGGAGCAAGGCTGTCTGGGTTCCCATCCCAACTCTGCCACTTCCAACTATGTGGCCCTGGACCCTTACCCTCTCTATGCTTTTCATGGTCACAGTAAGGATTAGAGGCATCGATCCCCAGGGAACCCTTGACATGGTGAGAAGCACACAGTGATCCTTTGTTCTGTGTGTGCTCTGTCCCTGCAGTGGCCAACATGGGCAGGCTGGCTGAGGAGGCACTGGGCTGCCAAGTTGAGCTGCTCCGTGGGGGCCTGGGTGGTCCCAACAGAGGCCGTGTGCTGCAGCACCTTGTCTCTGGACATCCCTTGCTCATCCCGTATCCCAGGACAGGAAGGGAACAGGGCGGGGTGGAGAAGTGTGGGCCCTGGGGCCACATCACAGCTTTGGCCTTAACCCCAGCATCAGCTACGATGAAGACTTCAACCATGAACCATGTCGGAGGAAGGGCTACAAGGCCCACTGGGCAGTGAGCACAGGTGGGTCCCCTCTCCTGTGTCCCTGTGCTCACCCTGGATCTCCCCAGCTCCCCCATCACCCCCCTCACATTCTCACCCTGGCACTGGCACCTC